AAGACTTCTCAATCTCAGCTTCAGTATCTTCAGCATAATACTTTCCAAATACAGTACGTTTTACCACTACCCTTGGGGCTGCGGCAGTAGCACCTAGGTCTGGATTTTGAAAAGTTCTCGAGGTGATTCTAAGGAACACCTAGGATTGGCAGCCACTGAGATAAAGAGCAGTATTGCCAGGTTCTAGGCTCCCATCCCACATCATTACCTTCCATCGGGGACCCATTTACATAAATTATTTCATCAAAGACCATTCAGAACTGTTTTTTAAATAAAAAAATTTTGCTCTCTAAAAATCTGAAATTATTTCCAAAAGATTAAGATTTTGTTTCAATAAAATATATAAAAGACGTATTAATCACAAAAATTAAAATTTTTTCATGCTTCTTTTTATGGGGACAATGAGTAGAAGCCAAGGTAAGATTTTTATCCACTTATGAATGTGAAGGCTAGCATTAGGATCAGGAAAATAGATTTTAAGCATGAAATTATGGAATGTTCAGTAGATAACTGGCCTCTAAGAATAAACTGCTTTTTAATTTCTTAGCATGTTTCCAGTTTAGTTTTATGGACCCAAATATCATGGAGGGGGCAACCAACTGTAGAAATTGTTGTGGGTGGGGCTCACTTTATACTCTGAATGAGTTAACAGTTCTAAGTTTCAAAGTCTAGAGTATAATCAGGTATGTAGTAAGCCACAGATTTAAATAACATCTTCTATTTAAGCACAGTGGATAGTGTATCTGTACTTGGCAATGTGCCAGGTACTATAAGGTGCTTAGAAGGCATGGACGTTTAGATCCGATCGATGCAAATTCAGGTTTACATGATGCACACCTGCTTCTGTCTGAGGGCTCAAAAAGGCCACCTAGGACAACTTCTCATTTGTATAAAGGAGAGGGTTAGTTTCTGTCCTCCTAACAGAGCAGGCTAGAGATAAGGTCAATAAACTCTTATAATCATCCAACTAGTGACTCTGTAAGAGGTTTTTTTTTTAATTGATTTTGTGGGATATATTTACACATAATAAAAGACACCCATTTTTAGCGTGCAGTTTGAAGAGCTGTGAAAAATGTATACACCCAAGTAACCACTGCCACGATCAACATATAGAACACTTACACCACTGCAAAAAATCCCCTCATACTTCTTTATAGTCAGTCCCCGACCCCAGCCCTGTCGACCACCAATGGGTTTTCTGTTACTACAGCTTAAATTCTGTCCATTCTAGAATTTCATATAAACAGAATTATACAGCATGTAGTCTTGTCTTCCTTTTCTTTTTAATACAACATAAGGCTTTTGAGTAATCCACGGGTTGCTGCATGCACTGGTAATTCATTCCTTAGGGCACATTTCGCTGCACAGACAGGATATAATTCGTTTACTCATTCACATGTCGATGGACATCTGAGTTCTGATTACTGGTTATTATAAGTTAGACTTATCAACCTCTGTGTACATGTCTTTATGTGGACATGTTTTTATTTCTCTTGGGTAAATACCTAGTAATAGAGTCTCTGAGTCAGAAGTACATGTTTTGAATTTACAAAGAACTGCCAAATGGTTGACCAAAGCAGTTATATCATTTTTACATTGCCACCAGCAAAGCATGAGAGCGCAAATTGCTCCACATGCTTGCTAACACTTGGTATTGTCAGTCTTTTTAATGTTAGCCATTGCCAAAAAGAAAAAGTGGAAACCCCAGGCTTTAAGAATGCAAATAAACTGAAGCACGTCAGTACATAAGCGTCTGCACACCATTCAAGATGCCATTTGGGAAGTCCAGCGAGAAACATTAAAATTCTATCCTAGGGCTCCGTGAATGAACTGGAGAGATTATTTCTCTCCTTACACAATCACGGCTAAATAACCCAAGAAAGATCATCTTATTTCCCCTGCTCCAGCATCTTTCTGGATTCCTCCAGAGGATATGCAATTCTGTCCAAAAATAATAACTCTTATGATCACAGGCCTCAACCTCACAGATTTTAAATTCTGCCAGACACTGGGTTGGGGGGGAGGTGGTGGTGAAATTCACACACACAAAAATCAGTAAGACGCCAGATATATAAAACACCCATGCTTACATGCGTATGTTGGCAAGCTTTGAAAGCTGGGATAGTCTTTCCTTAAAACAATTTAACTCCTTCTGTTTGAAAAATGGTTAAATACTATTTGCAGACATTGCCCTAATTTGAGCAAATTTTGCCCATTCCAAATAGAGAGCTGGTTTGCATCAGGCAAACCGCAAGAGCGGAAGAGCCTGGCCTCCCAGAAAGCTTGGCGGTTCACACTAATAGCAGGAAGGACGCTCTCCTTCCAGGGCTCTGCTTCCACTTTGCAGCCGCCTATGCTAGTCAAGCTACAAAGAGGTCATCTTTAGACTGAGTAGGAGAAAAGGAGCAACTCAAAATCCCGCGCAGTCTTTTAATGAGGCTGCCCTTCCCTCTGCCAGGAATGTTCGCGGCTCATACACCATCTCTTTTCAGAACCAGGGAGGTTCTACTTTTCTCGTAGCTCTGGCTTCTTCCAGCCAGACCAAATTCTACTCGCACATGCTTTCCCATCACTGCATTTTTTCCTTAGTCTTTTCACAGTTAATAATCATATTTATTTTAATGACTAGTTGATTAATGTCTACTGCTCCTTCCATCGAACAAAGTAAGCTTCATGGGTTTTTCTCCTAATTGTATGCTCTGTGCCTAGAGTGCTCAGCACGTAAAAAGTACTTAATAAGTATCTGAGTAATTAATTACTTGTCGATTAAAACATTACCTTATCAGAGATGTGATCAATATGCCTCGAAGCTTCACATAAGTTAGAAGATAAAGAAGGCTGCTCCCTCCTCAATGAGAAGAAAAATCAAACTGCAAAAACCTTGGGGGTCAAAGTTGGCCTGGCCTTCTGCCCCAACTTCCATTAAACCATCTGCTTAAATGTCAGATCTACTTTACCAACCTATCCTCTTGAAATTCAAATCCATGCAGAGGAGAAAGACTATCAGGACAAACTATTTTCCTCCATTAGAAGGGAATTCTGAAAAAGCAATTCTCATAGTTTCAAGCTTTAACCTAAAGTCTAGGTAATCGGCAAGGGAAATGCAGTTATTGGATGAGTCCAGGTCAGGATCTCCCACAGCAGGGGAAATGGCTCTGCTATTTCCCTGAGACAGGCAGGCAGAGTCCCTGTTTCACTCTTGCAGACTTCATGATCAGAAATAGGCTGACAGCAGCATATGCCTCACATGCAGATAGAACCGCAGTCTTTTCCAGTTAGAGGTACATACCAGGCAAAACTCTAGGGACTTCTAGACCATCCACCTTTTCTTTAACTACCCATCTTCAAGAAATTTCCATGAAAACACAGACCAAATAAAAATTAATAAAATGAGAATCACTATGGGTCCCTACTTAGCTCATGTTTGGCTCAGCCCAAACATTTACTGTTAATGCATTCTATTCATTATTGGTGCAAGCAAAACTCTAGAATTCAAATTTAAGAATATCAAGATATTTTTAAGACCTGAATCTCATGAGCAAAATACTAGGAAGGTAGTAAGGAAAGGCTACTTCTTTCTTTCACTTAGTCATTAGATATTAACTGAGGCCCTATTATATGCCAAGCACTGCCCAGCGTGCTAAGGGAATGCAAATGTCTTCCAATTATAACCAAATTTTACTAATCTAAACCTTATTTGGAATTCAGAAAGAAAGACCAATATTTCAAGGTCAATTCTCTCACACTCATTTAAATAAAAGCTTTCTCCTAACCACTGAAAAGACATTCTTACCAAAAGGTTATGTTATCATTTTATTATAAACTAAGATACAGGGGCCCCTCGGTGGCTCAGTCGGTTAAGCATCTGCCTTCAGCTCAGGTCATGATCCCAGGGTCCTGGGATTGAGTCCGGCATTGGGCTCCCTGCTCAGCGGGGAGTCTCCTTCTCCCTCTCCCTCTGCTGCTCCCCCTGCTTGTGTTCTCTCGCTTTTTCAAATAAATAAATAAATAAACAAAATCTTTAAAAAATATAAATAAAATAAACTAAGTTACAGTCTTACTATCTTTACATAGTCTTCTTTTCTTTAATCTTTACATATTCTTTCTGGAACAAACCTATCTATATACTGAAATGAATTCTGATAAATGATCAGAAGTTTATTTTTTTTAAAAAATCCAAAAATGGGTCCAAAAATAAAGTTTTATTCCCAAGCCACAAATGAAGTAAGAAAAGATGAATTAAGGTAAGCTTAATTCTTTCATTGCCCAGTTAAGAGAACTATTATCAGATCTGTTACAAACGCCCCAGGTATTCAGATTAGCATCACCGCAACTCCATGGAAAACTTATCCAAATTTTATCTCAAAAACTTGGTTTGAATCCACAGTAAATCCCACACATCTACAATCACAAGCAGAAAGACAAAAAATAATCCAACAAAATTCTAAGCTTAATAGAACAGATGCCTCTTCCTGACAAGGAATAGCTGTCAGGCAAAGCAATGATTTGGGAGCTGTGTCTACTTTCTCACATTCCATAGGTGTCGATACTTATCCTGGGACAAACTATTACTGATTACTGGCAACTGTTAAGAAAAAGAAAGCCAGTGAAACTCAGGTTGCTAGTAATGACAATTACCCAAAGACCAGGAATTATTCTAAGACAAAAAATCCTAGAGGAGAACCCACTTTCCGTCAATGTCTTCGTGAAGGAAAAGTCTGGACGAACAAATCTGTCTGTCAAACCCTTAGCAGAAACACTCAATGACCTGGAAAATACATTTAAAATTGAACTTCATTAACCTTTCCCATACAAACCAACCTCAAAAGTAGAGGTGCTACTAGTAAATAAGAATCGGGAGAAGACAACAGAGAACAGGAAACAGGAGTGGGAGAGCGGACGTGTACAAAAGCTGGGTCTATGACCCTGTTGGACCCCTGAGAATTAAATGTTTTAAAAATGAAGCTGTTTTAATATTATCAATGTCTGGTTTTCATTACCTGACAGGCAGATATATGTTAAATATTCTCCTTGACCCCCGGTTGCCAAGAAAGGAATCTTTTTCTTTGTCCTCCTCTTGACTTGGACAGCTCCCAGCATCCTTTCATCAAGAGGTGCAAAAATTTCCTTGCTGATGGCAGACTTGGCACTCATTGTAGAATAACTGAGGAGGGCACACAGCGAGTTTTCTAAAGAAGAAAAGGAAAAGGCAGGTTGAATTGACAATATGGTGAGGCTCCTAACAGAGTAAGTGGCAAGATGATTTGCAGGTGAAGTAATTTTCAATTTGTCATTTAAACTTGCTCCCTTGCTTGAAATGCACTGCAGAATCATTAAAAGCAAGGACTTCCCATTTGTATTAACTGTGAAAAATACAAACAAGAAGGGAATACTGATGTACTCACTGAAAATGTCAAATGCAACGAGAAATAAACAGCACGAAATGTTACCTAGAAAGTTCATCAATCTCTACCCCAGTTGCACCTAAAGGTAACTGGTGAGCAGTACCCACCCCCATTCCTATTCCGTAAGAAACATGGTTTCACATCTCCAGTTGATCAGTCTTTCCACTACCCAACAATCCTTAAAGTCACGAAGTTCTTTATGCTCCTTCAAAATCTCCTTTAACTCTAACGTAAATCCATTTCCCTAATTCTATTCACAGTGGAAATAATTATATCATCTTCTACATAATACCCCTACATGCAACAGAAGACCATTAATTTAATCACCCGTTAGCTGCTTTGGATCACGCTAAATAATTAATCCTTATTTATCAGCCTCTTTCAGTAGGTCCTATTTTCCAGCGCTCTTCTGCATATAGTTGCCATGCTCTGGACCCTTGACAAATTCTCCACATTTTTCTTTAGCCAGAGTGGACACAGAATTCTAAAAAAAATATCTGACCAATGCTAAGTATTTTGGAAATGTTACCCAGCAGTTCCCACATGTTATGCTCCTGTGGGTAACTGGCAATGTCTGCCCAATAATTAAGAAGATAAAGCTGTATGTTGCTGACTCACAATGAGTCCCTCCTCTCCCTGCTACCAAACTCACATATATACAGTCCCCACTGTATATTTAGTTTTCCAGAAGTTATACCTCCCTAATGGTCTTAATTCTGCTTATTTGGGTCTATTATATTCAAGATCAGTCTGAATTTTAACCCTTTCATCCAAAAACCTCAACAGCAACTCGAGTAAACCTTTTCTATCCCATCATCCTGGTCACGGTCTGTGTCTTAATCGGTAACCAACATTTGTTTAACAAATCAGAACTAGAGGTGCAGACAGAGCCTGTGGGTTGGCCATGTGGGTCGTACCAAGTATTCAGAGAGCCTGCAAATGGATCAACAGCACAGCTATATATGGAAACAGCAGCTCAAAGAGTTGGCCAGCCTGCTGTAAAATTGAGCCAATTGGCAAACACCTACTATGTGCCATTTCTAGGCTCAGTATTAGAGCTACGAGAAATACTTAGGACGTAGTCCCTGTTCTCCAGGAGTTGACTGCTGACTATATCAAAGGTTTTGCTTTATGAGAGAAAACCTGGGATCATCTTTCCCAATGCAAGATTCACAAATGATACCAAGATAGCTATCCATCAGCAACTCTGTCGTAGGGAAGAGATGTATTTTAAAAGAGCATTCCTCTGGCTTAAAAAAAAAAAAAAATTTTCTCCTAGTTTCGATTATAACAGAACAGGTTTTCTTAGTGGCACCAAGAATAAAGAATACAAAGTGTTGCTTTTTATTATATCCACCAATATCTCCACTACATATTACAGAATTCTATACCCAGATCTATTTGTGCTCTGATCACGACATTTTATCATTACTACCAGGTTCTTCATCCTGGCTGAGAACATTATGACAACAGTGTAGGGGGACTGGCTTTCAGTGTGCTGACAACTGATACCCTGCGATTTCCCAGAAGTTAGCAAAGAGAATTCCCCCCACCATGATTTACCCGGTGACTTTCCTAGGCAGGGTGTTATAATTTACAGGGACATTTTTAAAAAGAGAGAGAAACAAGGCCTCTCACTTCTCACCCTTTGGGGACATGTGAGAAAAAAAGCCAGCGGGAGGACAGCAGCTTCCAACATTCTATAAGCAACGGAGAAAACACGTCCTATCCCCAAACTCACCAGGCATTCTCTGACTGGTGCCTTTCCAACTGGGTATGGCTTTTGCTTTCCTATCCTGGATTCACATTTTTCTAAAATTATGGTTAAAAGAAATAAAAAGCTGTCATTTGATTGTGATTGTGTAAAATTTGCCAGAAAAAAAAAAGGAGCATGCATGTTTTACCAAACTCTTAGAAAATTCTGTTCTTCTTTTGAGAAACTGTTAAGAAATGGAGATGACCTTTTACTATTTTTGTTTTTAAGATTTACTTATTTATTTTAGAGAGAGAGTATGAGCACATGCACGTGTGTGAGCGCATGGGGAGAGGGGCAGAGAGAGGAGGAGAGAGAATCTCAAGTAGATTCTGCAGTGAGAGTGGAGTCTGACAGGGGGCTCAATCTCAGGACTCTGAGATCATAACCTGAGCCAAAACCAAGAGTTGGATGCTTAACCGACTGTGCCACTCAGGTTCCCCCCCACCCCTTTTTTAATACACTGATATTTAGTAGCCAAGCACAATAACAAACAAGGCATGACAAAAAACAGGAAAGATAAAACCAGTAACTTCACTGAGCACAGGTTTTGGAATCAAAACAAACCCGGGTTCAAGTTGCAGCAACAATACCGAAGACCTATATATGACTGGGTAAATCTCTTAAAATTCCAGACCCTTAGTTTACTAACTGCAACTGGGAGAGATCTTCACCCACCTCATGGAACTACTGAAAGAATTAAATGGAACAGTGTGCAAATCTCTTATTCTGGTGCATGAATCATAATAAACTCTTAAAAATGGAAAATTTTAATTAATTCTCCTACTATAGTATGAAAAATAAAAGACCCTCTGAGCTTGTAGAAACTGAGTAAATGTAGCCATCCATACCAGAAGGGATTTGTCTAAAGAGAAACTCAACTTTACCAAAGCTTTTTCCTCATTCATGGTATGAAACTCTCTAAATATGGATACACAGTCTATTTTATGAAAGGCTCTGTATTGTTTTCAGGATGAGGAATTTATAGACTTCACCCTCAGGAAACTCACTAGTAGGAGATTACTAGATGCATTCTATGGGAAACTGTCAAAAGTTTTTGTCCAGAACAATGATATTAGCAGCCCTATGTGACTGCATGCATGTGTGTATGTTTTTAACACCATCCTAGGAATGGGAATGTACAGTGGAATTTGTGTTTTAAACGATTCCCTAACTGGTTCTCATGCAGCCACCCTGACACCTAATTTAAAGCCAACACCCTAATGAGGAACTATGGGATGGAAAGGAATGTATTCTTGGGAAAAAATACAGGAAGAGATGTACAGGATCTTCTCTCTTGATTCAATCAAGCAGATTTATCAGGTCTTACCTCTTGTTGGTAAATCAATGTTCAGCCCAAGGCTGGGACCCCACTATAAGAAAACAAGATGAATACGGCATCAGTGGTATGCCAATGACCACAGATACCCTAATCTACATTGTGAAGGTAGCAGGACATGCCACCCCAAAATACGCCACTTCAGAATTTTGATTATTTTGAACTGAAGGCATTTGAAAAACAGCAAATGCGAGCAGAGGCTTTGTCTGAACTCCCCTCATCTGCCTGAAGACAGATCCTCTAAAAGGAACTCAGTAAGTCCCCTATCCAAGAGTTTCATCAACCAGAGAAGATGGACACTTGTCACAGGAGAGACTAGAAGAGGATACCACACCCAGGACAGACTTTCTAACAAACTATCATATTCTCCATGTGTTCTTCTAAGGGTGCCCTCAATCTTTCCTAAAAATCATTTACTCTCCCCTAAGAGGCCTACATCCTGCTCCCCTTTCCCTACTGGGAGCGTATTTAATCCTGAATTCCAAGGATTTTCAGAGAGTTACTCATTTTTCCCTGGGTATCTCCCATGCACCTATGAGGTATATGTGCTAATAAACTTCTCTTTTTCTCTTATTATTCTGTCTTTTATTATAGGGGTCTCAGCTAAGAACTCAGAAGGGTAGAAGGAAAATTAGTTTTCCTCCCCTACAACACCATGGAAGTTTTTTCTCTTCCTGGTCTACAGCTTCTATAGGCTATAATTACAAAGCTTTTCCATCCAAAAAACCAACCTACAGTATGATTTGCAAGTCAAAGCAGCTGGCTGCCTTAAGTGGTAATTGTAGAAACTAATCTCAGTGTAATCTTTCCCAGGGCTTTTCTATCTATCTTCTTGCTGTAAGCCACCTAATCCATATCCACTTTTGTTAGTACGTGGCTACTGTAGTGGGGGCCCTCCACCCTCACAAGTAACCAGGAAATGAGATTAACCTTCAGAGAAGGAGCTGTAAACTCCTATGACCTCAGGATTCAGCAGATGAAGTACGTAAGTAAAGGGTACAGATGGAAGATATTCTGCACTCCAACACTAACATCTTTGGTTTCCAGGAGTGGAACGGACACTTGTCCTCTGTGGTCAGGAGATAAGAGTGCTAGGGACTCCAGCAAGTAAAAACTGCAGATGCCCTTAGTCACAGGCACCCTTCGCAGCTATCATGCAGACTGGGGGTGTAGCCCACAGGCTTCAAATATTTCTCACCTGAGAAGCAAGAGCCCCTTCAGTGAAATACAGTCATCTATTTAGCTTAATATTTTCAAGGCAAACTGATTTCTCTAACCTCAGGAATGTCCCCATCTGGGCGCCATGTTTAGCATGCAATCTTCTGATCACATTTTTGGCACTGGATGTGCCGATACAAGTATTCTGGACTGGACAGCAGTTATGTTCCCATTGCCAATGAGTAACCGGAATCCCTGGTTTTAGACACATCTTCTTTAACCAGTGAATATGACTTGACCCTGAGGTGCATGCACTCAAAGCAAGCTGACATCAAGTTTCAGGATTCTTCCAAGTTAAGAGTGAAAGTGATGTCAGCCTGGGAGACTCTGGGGGAGAATCAGCTGGTTTTCTCTAGTGCATAGGAACTCTGGTGAGGTAACCTCAAATAACTTAGAAATGAGAGCACTAAGGTTATCCTCTAAGGAGTTCTCTGCACTGCCACTTTGTGTTTCAAATGCTACACACCC